CGCGGGGCGGCCCTGCGCGCGACAGACATCGCCGCGCTGGGCCCCACAGCGGCCCGCCGCGCTGCGCGGCGCCGTCGCTGCGAGGCACTCGAGCTGGCGGCGCACCGCTCCGCAGGCGCCCATGCTGGCAGCGCGACAGCTGGCGCCTTCCAGCACGACAGCATGAACGCGATGATCAACTGCAGGCACCACTACGAGGTGGTGGCGAAGCTGCACCGGGCCGTGAGCGCCTACTTTTTAGTCAGCGGCCGCGGGCGAGCGCGCCAGCGGCGAGTCCAGTCAAAGCGGGCTGCGCGAACAGGCCACGCCTAACGCAGCAAGCCGAGGCCTCACGCCGTGAGCGCCTGCGAGGAGCGCCGGCGTCGGCTGCAGCCCGACAGCGCCGGGCCGAGCGCGCAGGTGGCCGAACCGAAGCAGGATGCGCTCGCAGAACAGCGCGGGGAGACCAGGCAACCGACCAGGTGGAGAGCCCTCCCAAGTGAGCCCGGGCTCCCCTCCCGGGACGGGCGGTCGGCGGGAAGCGGTTCTCTTCTCCCCCTGCTCGTTCTTCAATCGGCGAGGGGTCAAAATGCAGAACTGAGGGGAGAATGAATCCATGGGGCTTTGGATTGTGTTTCCTACTTTGGTTGATGGGTGCTGTTGCCAGGAGACCCGCTCCGGTTGCCAACAAAAACTGCGGGCTCCATAGGGAGGCGGCTCCCGCCTGAGACTTCCTCGCAATTCACTCGCAAGCGAAGCTCCCGCCTGAGGCTTCTTCAAAATTCAAGTGTGAGGGGCCCGAAAGTGAAGACAATTACAGGATCTGGACGACCCACTCCGATTACCAACATGAAGTGCGGGCTCCATAGTGAGACGGCTCCCACTTCCTTGCAATTCACTCGCAAGCGAAGCTCCCGCCTGAGGCTTCTTCAAAATCCAAGCGCGAGGAGCCCAAAAGTGACGATACTTACAGGATCTGGATTACCTGCTCTGGTTACCAACATGAAATGCGGGCTCCATCGGGAGGGTGCTCCCGCCCGAGACTTCCTCGCAATTCACTCACAAGCGAGGCTCCCGTCTGAGGCTTCTTCAAAATTCAAAAGTGAGGGGCCCAAAAGCGACGACAGTTACAACATCTGGACGACCCGCTCCGATTACCAACATGAAGTGCGGGCTCCACAGGGAGGGGGCTCCCGCCTGAGACTTCCTCGCAATCCACTCACAGACGAGGCCCCTTTTGGTCGATTCTCATGATGGGGTGGTGATAGTGATGACGATGGTGGTGTGCGCTGCTGATGACCGATGATCATGATGGGATCATGACATGATGACGACTGCGTGATGAGTGAATGTGGGTGAGTGAGAGGGTGAGTGGATGACGATGAGGGTTGATGATGCTGATGGAATGGTGGTAGTGATGATGATGGTAAATGGGACGATGATTGAAGGTGACGATGATGATGACTTGAAGAGTGGGTGTGAAGAGGACAGGGTGGGCGTGAGGACTACGCGGGGTGTCCTGACCAAACAAGAACCCCATCTAGGGTGTAGGGAAAAAGCACGACGAGTCCGGCGCCCAACTCGAGATCGACGCCAGCCATGGAGCAACAACAACTGCATAACGTATCTGTTTCGGTGTCCGTGCGGAGCTCCAAAAGTTTTTGTTGATGCAGGTTTTTCCTTATGGATGCCAGGGCTTCGCCGCCTACGACGAGCTCGAAGCCTACGGCGTGCTGTGCCTGCCAGAGGTCCTTCCGGCGCCTGGCCCAGGGGCAGACGACGCGGACGGCGCCTGGGCGGCGGCCGCTGGAGACGGCCAATGGGCCATGCCCCCTTGGGCGCTCCCTCCCGGAGTTGACCTGGGAACAAATCAAGATAAACGTTTAGATGTCCGCGCGGAATCTTGAGTCGGCGTCGGACCCCTCTCCCTGGCGCGTTCCGCGCCGCCAGGTGGGCCCCAGCGCCGATCCAAGAAATCCGGCGGGAGCTCCGAAAGTGTATGCTTATGCCGTCCTTCTCCTTTGAAAATGTGAAGATGGGAGGCCTCCCGGGATCCCCTCGGCATTCCCCCCCTACCTACCCCTTCGAGCTACGTCGCCGCGAACCCCTGCATCGTCACCAATGTTGGATTCGCCCGGAAATCCTGGACATGACGCCTAGCTTGAGGATGCCGAGAAGGCGCCGGAGAACAACGATCGCGTGCCAGAAGAGGACCAGCGACCAGCAGTGGATCAGCCACCACCAGTGGATCAGCGACCAGCAAGGTATCAGCGACCAGCAGTGGACCAGACACCAGCAGCAGTATGAATAGTTACCAGCAGAGAATCAGCGACCATCAGAGGACCAACGACCAGCAGTGAACCGCGTACCAGCGGCGGCTCAGCAACCAGCAGCGGATCGAGTACCAGCAGTCAAGCTAGTACCAGCCAGCGATCAATTCCAGCAGCGAACCGCGTACTGGCAGAAGATCAGCGACCTTCTGTGGATCGTGGTTCAGCAGAGGATCGCGTTCGACGACCAGCAGCGGACTGTGCACCAGCAGTGGATCGATTAGCAGCAGAAGATCAGCAACAACCAGCGTATCAATGACGAGCAGGGGGCAGCGTATCAGTTGGGGGCCAACGACCAGCGGTGGACCGTCTACCATCAGCGGATCAGCGACCAGCGATCGGTCAGTGACCAGCAGCGGAGCGAGTACCAGCAGGAGATCAGCGACTAGCAGCTGTTCGGGGACCCGCAGCGGATCAGCGACCTGCAGTGGATCAGCGATCAGCAGTGGACCATCGACTTTTTTCCTCCGACGCAACACAACCCAAACCCGAGGCCTCGTGGTGCATACTATAAAGCCTGGACAGGGCAGGCAGGTGCGGAAAACTCAGCGCAACGCGTGGACAGCAGCGGCAAGAGCAGGGAGAGGGAACAGCGACGACGAGAGAGTATAACCGAGAGCAGCACGGAGAGGAGCAGGAAAGCGAGCAACAGTGGACCATACCATAGCGCAGTGGATAGAACACCAAATCCAAACCTCCCCGCCGGATGGGCTGGCGCGAAGGACACGTCCAGCACGACGGACCAACACCACAAGGCCACGCAACAGACACAGTGGTCGCCCCCATGTCCCGAAGACACGGCAGCGGTACAGCAAGCAGCCTCCCTTTCGCCAGGCTGGATCAGCCACCTCGACCAGCAGGGCGGCGCTGCTACCACCACGTGGCCATGAAAAAGACACAATGGACGCCGCCGTACACCAGGCCCGCCGATACACCCCTTCGCAGTTGCCTTGAGAAGCCGCCGCGCCACGGAGGCATCGAGGAGGAACGCACCGACGAGAGCGACAAGGACGACGACGGGCACGACGATGGACGAGGAAAGCGACGAGCCGAGCGAGCCCCAGATCATGTGCGCCGTATTGGAGGGATCTTCCTCAGAACCATGATCGACGACGGAAAAGGACATCGCTGGGGTCCTCGCCACCAAGGCCACAGCCAAAGCCATTAAGCCAGCCCACAACCACTCTGGTGACGAGATGGTGCCCATAGACATGCAGGTTGTCGGCCACTACGAGGACGGAGAGGAGATAGTCCGCAAGTTAGGGCCCTCTGGCGCCATCAAGGCACTCCTGACCGCCAACGACTACTACAAGTAGCACAAGGCCCAGACACAAGCGGGCAAGCGGCCGAGGCCATGCTCCGCCGCACAGCTGCTACGGAGCCCAGTACCCATGCCAACCCAGCGGCGACAGCGAAGACGGCTACGAGGGCGGCATCGCATACAAGTGCGACGACATCTGGAAGGCAGAGTACCACGACTGGGCCAGCGTTGACTCGGGGAGCATCCCTAGAAGCCGAGATCGAGCAGCGCCTCAGCGCAGAAAACGGCAAGAAGGGCAAGAGCAAGCATGGCGAAGGCAGAAACAGGGGTAAAAAACGGCAGGGGCCGAGCGGACGTACATGAAGGCCGGCCAGAACCACGGGCCCACTGAGTCGACCCGCGCCCACCACGTCTCCATCTAGGGCTCCCAACTTCGCGCTTCGCGCTCCGCGAAGCGCGAAGCGCGAATAACTTCGCGCTCTCGCGCCGCCCCCCCAAAGGGAGAAAAGGAGGACGAGGAGGAGGGGGAGGAGAAACGAGGACCGCGAAGCGCGAAGCGCGAATAACTTCGCGCCCTCGTGGGAGCCCTTGTCCATGGCGCCGATGACGGGGCGCGCGGCCGTTGGCATCGGCATCGCCGCGGACGCCGACGACGGCCACTGCGGCGGGGCACACTGCCGGGGGGCCCGTCCCCCTTCGACCCCCCCACTCCACCCCGAGCCTCCCTCGGGGCGGGATGCGGGAAGGACAGGTGTCGGCTACACGTAAGAGTGACCCTGGGTAAGAGTGACCTTTGGTGCGCGGCTTTTGTAGGGCCGCGGGGAGGCCAAATCCAGGCGCGCTAGCCGCTGCTACCGCTTCGCGTTCGGCCATCTGGGGGCCCACCTGTGCCCGCACCAAAGGTCACTCCGGCGAAAGGTCATTCTTACGTCTAGTCGAAGGTGGCCCCTTCTCCTCCCCCCTCTCCGAAGCGGCCACGGCCATGGAAACAGCCTCCGCCGGCGCGCGAGGGGTCCCGAGAGCGGCGCGCGCGGGGTCCGCGGGGCGTGAGGGCGGCGCGGCTCGGATGGGGGCACCTGCGGAAGCAGAGTGCGGCGGCAGAGGGGAGATGCGGAGCGAACGTCCACTTGCGGACGTGGTGCTTCATGCGCGGCGGCTGGAGCCGAGCCTCAGAGCGAAGCGGGCGGCCTTCACCACGTTGATGTGGGTGTGGTAGTTGAGGAAGAGGAGGAGAGAGTGGGCACGGAGGAGAGGGAAGAGAGGAGAGGAAGAGAGAAGAGAAGAGGAGGACGATGGGGATGACGGAAAGGGAGAGCGGTGGAGGAGGAGGTGGAGGAGGAGGAGGAGGAGGAGGAGGGAGGACAGGGCGAAGGGAAGGACGGGAGAGGGGAAGGACGGGAGCGAAGGGAAGGACGGGAGAGGGAGCAGGCGGAGGCGTGGCCGCGAAGAGGAGCAGCATCGCAGGCAGCACAAGGCGGGGCGTGAGTCGGGGACCATCCTGCGCTCTCCGTCGGGCGCCGCGGGCATTGGCAACCGGTCTTTGCGGGCCTCGCGTCCCTGGCCTGACTGGCGCGCTCTGCGTGCAACCCGCGCGGGCCACCGCGCGGACACCTCCCGCCGTCGCGAGAAAGGTCGCGCCGCGCAGGAGGCTCTCCTCGCAGGCCTCGAGGCTGACACCAACACCAATATCGGCGGTGTGCCTCAACCGACGGAAGAAGATCCCGATCTCGGCGAAGGTGGTACTATTCTGGCTTCCAAGGTGACCGAAATATTGCCAGCAACCCCGAAATCTAGGATCATGCTCCCCCTGTGGAGGCAAACCCCTGTGTTGGTGTTGCTGTCCATTTCCAGGCCTCCAATCCTCGCGGATCTGTCAGCCCCTGGGCGGGGCAGTCCCTGGGAAAGGGTCGGGAGCTCCGCCCCCAGGGCCCCGATTTAGCGGGCGAAGCACAATATAATTTAAACTTTTCCGCCGTCGGGGACGCCAGTCCCCCAGGCGGCTGGAAAGTTTATACCCCTACGTGGCACCAGAAAGATGTAAACCTTCCAGCCTCCCGGGGGCAGACGTCCCCGAGGGCGGAAAAGTTTGCTTTATACCGTTCTTCGCCCCCTACTCGACGCGGGCCTGGAGGGAGGGCGAACTAGACAGCGGAAGCACCTCCGTCTCTGGCCGTTCCATGCTCGCCTGAGGTCTTCAGGCCGAGGAGGAGCGGCCTGAAACGGCGCTGGCAAATACTGGCTGGCTGGCCGGCCGAGCGGGGCTCTCACACGTCCGGCCGGCTGCCCAGCGACACGCCGCCAGCGCTGGCGAACACGGCCTTCGATGGTGTCCCGAACGGGTTGCCGCCCTGGGCCGAGCCGGCGCCAGCGACCACGGGGCTCCTCCGGGGGAGGGGGTAGGAGGCAAGCATGCCCCGACTCTTGCAAGAGGGAGCGGGCGGAGGGCAGCATGGGGCAAGCTCTGCTCGCCGCGGGGCTCCATGTGTCGCTCTGGCAGGCAGGGAGCGGGTGCAGTCGACCTGAAGTCAAGCCACCTCCGCCACCGCCCAATGCCATCACGACAACTCGCCACCTCCCAATGCCACCACTGATGGGGCCGGGTGAGAGGGGGGGCAGCCTCTTGGGGACGCCCAAGGACTTCCTTGGTGCCATCGTGGGGAGGCAAGGGTGAGGGGGGGGACCGGGGCAGACGGACGACCGAAAAAAAGAAGAGGCCCCGAACTTTAGCACACAGCCGCGCCAGGTAATGCCATGCCGATGCGGATACCCCCTTCCGTCGATTTCGCCTCTTGGGGGAGGGGGCCTGGTCGCTGCGGCCGGACTCGTCTCAGGATCCTTGTCAGAACACACCCCATGAGAGGTCCATGGGCCACCTGACTTCGAGAGCCGCGCCCCGCGCAGCGCAACGCGCGGCCGAATACCTTTGCGCCCTCATGCCGCCAACCTGGAGACGGCTGTTCGGCGGCCCCAGCCGCGATGCGCGATTCGCGTTTATCGTACAACCCCTGCGGGCGACGCGGCGCCCCAGAGTCAGAGTCTCTGCGCTGCCATAACGAACGCTTCAGCAGCAACGAAGGTTCGTGGCCATTGCAAGACTCGGCCACGCATAGGTTCCACGAGCTCGATCAAGCGAGCGGCCCGAACGCCAGAGCCCCTCGTGAGCCCAGAGCAAAAGCGGCATCGGCATCTTTCTCGCCCCCCCACGGCTCCACGTGTTGGTGCCAGTGTCCTGCTGCATCTGGCGGAAGTACCTGCGCGCGGGAGCAGATGTTCGACGCTGGCGGCGCAGGGGGGGGGGCGACAGCGCGGAGCGCCAGGGTGTGGGGCCCCTCGAAAGGGCCCCGAGCCTGGCCGAGGCGGGCGGGCTCCCCCGATCCGTTGTTGAGGCTCATCCGTTGTTTCGGCCGGCGCCGGACCTCTCGCGCATCGCGGCCTCCTTCAACTCCACCTCGGAGGCCTGCATCTCCCGCCGCATGCGCCGCAGCTTGTTGTCCGCCTCGGAGTGCCTCCGCACCTCCTGCTGCACCAGCTCCCTCTCCCTCGCCACCTGGAGCTGCAGCGCGCCCTGCTGCTGCTTCAGGACGTTGGTGTCCACCTCGATGTCGTCGTTGGACTTCTGGAGGCGGTCGCCGACGTCCACGATAGCGTCCAGCAGCTGCTGCTCGAGCTTGGCGATGCCCTCCAAGAACCTCCGCTGCGCCGCGAAGTGGCTGCGGGCCCCGAGCAGCTTCTGGCTCTCCAGGTCCAGGCCGCGCCGCTGCCCGTGGGCCGCGTCGAGCTGCTCCTTCAGCTTGAGGATCTCGTACTCGACCTCGCGGAGCCTCCCCATGACCTGCTGCGGCTGCACGCAAGGGCTGCCTCCCCTGGGCAAGAGGGGCCCTCGGTGCGCGGAAGGGAGCCGTGGGGAAGGGGGGGGAAGGCAAGCCCAAGCGCGCAAACCGCTGCACGGCGGGCCCCCCCGTAGGGCACGTACCGAGGGGTCACTCCGGCGAGAAAGGTCGCTCTCCGCGCACACCCCAGACCTCGTGCTTCTCACGCTCCTGCCGGGCCACCCCAGGCTCCATCTGCTCGAACTCCTCCTGGGCCTCGGCGCCCTCGTCCTGCAGCTCCTGGGTCTCCCTGGCCACGTGCGCCGCGGCCTCCCCGTCGGCCCTCCTCATCGCCCTCATGTGGTCCTTCACCGCCTGCAGCTGCAGCTTGTAGTCGGAGACCTTCTCCGCGGCGGTGTCCTCCGCCCCCTCCATGTTGTGCACCGCCTGCGGTGCGGGCATCAAACATAGAGGCGGACCGCACATGGTAGCGCTCTGCCGTGCGAGGCGCTGGCCGCGCTCGGCAGAGCGCTACCGTAGCTCGGCCATCCCTGGCACGCTGTGCGGCGGTGGGAGGTAGGCCCCACGAGCCTTCTCGAAGTCCACGAGCTCCAGGCGGAGGTCGAACTCGAGCTCCGGAGTTGCCGGCGCCACGCGGGCGTAGGCGCTGTCGTCCTGCAGCTTCTCGCGGCGCCTCTGCCACTGGCCGCTGTTCAGGCCGTCGATGTCCACGCGCACCTTGCCCAGGCAGGACGGGGCGGCGCCGGGCACGGAGACGGCGAACACCTGCAGCTCCAGCAAGGTGTCCAGGGGCTCCAGGTAGAAGGTGAAGACGTTGCCGGTGTTCCAGGTGGGGTTCAGGTTGTTCGGGTCCGAGGCCATGCTGACGGACGGGGTCCGGTGCTTGACCTTGCCGATCTGGACCACGACGTACGGCTCCACGTCGAAGTCGGGGGAGCGCGAGAGGCCGCCAGTGTACTTCATCAGGCCCACGTTCCGGCCCATGAGGTTGTACGCGTTGTTGATGGTGACAAACAGCGTCCTCGTGCCCTTCGCGCGGTCCAGCGCCTGATGCACCTCGGCGGCACGGGCGTCGCTAGAGATGTCGAAGCGAACCTCCTCCTCCTCCTTGTCCTTCTTCTTTTCTTTCTTCTCCTTCTTCTGCTTCTTCTCTGAGACCTGTGAGACCTGCCTCGCCAGGGCCTCCCCGACCTCGCCTGGTGTTCCGAACTCCCCCGCGTCTATGAATCCGTCTGCATTGGCGTCGAAGGCTCCGAACCCGCCTAGGGCGTCGGTGGCCCCGAAAGTGTCAGGCTCCACCGCCGCCGGCGCGGGCTCCACTGCCGCTGGCTCAGGCTCTACCGCCGCTGGTTCAGGCTCCACCGCCGCTGGCGCGGGCTCCACCGCCGCTGGCGCGGGCTCCACCGCCGCTGGCTCGGGCTCCACCGCCGCTGGCGCGGTCTCGGAGACCTCGTCGGGGCCCCGTGGTCTCCTGTAGCCCTGGAAGTCTGGCAGCGCCTGGGGCTGCACCGCGACCAGGCCCGCATGCGGCTCCTGTCCAGCCTGCGCATGCGCCACCAGCCGCATGGCCGCGCTCCATCCACTCGGGTCCAGGACGCCGTTCTGGTCCCTGTCGGCAATGTGCCAGATGCTGCTCAGCGTCTCCTCTGGGACGCCGCTCGTCATCATGAACGCCGCGCCCCCCCCGCCATCGATGACGCCGTTGCCGTCACGGTCGACGTACTGGAAGAGCTGGGCGTAGTACTCCTGCTCCTCTGGCGAGTACGAGGGCGCCCCAGTGTCCTCCAGGACCATCGACACACTGAGCGCGCCGACGCCCTCCTCCAGGGTGACGGGGAACTCCTGGGGCTCCCCAGGTTGCAGGCCCAGGGAGAAGATGTCGGTGGGGCCGACGCTCCCCAGCGGCGCCCCCGCGGCAGCGCCGTCGTAGACCTGCAGCGTGAGGCCTTGGGGCTCCCCGGTGAGCCGGAACGTGAACTCGTTGTCGGCCTCCCACACCGGGTCCGGGCTGCTGGCGACCTCCGGCGTCTGGAACACCTGGTCGCCCACGCTCGCCACGACGAACGGGCTGACGGCGCGCTCACCGCCGCCGAGGCCCTGCCCGGCGTTCACTCTCAGGCGCAGGACGGGGCCCTCGAATGCCGGCGCGGCGTCCGCGGGGGGCGCGGCGTCCGCAGGGGGCGCGGCGTCCGCGGGGGGCGCGGCCGCCGCGTCCATGGGCGCCGGAGCGTCGCCGGCCGCTGCGCCGAAGGCGTCGCCGGCACCGAAGGTGCCGCCGAAGCCGCCGGCCTCGCCGCCGAAGACGGCGTCGCTCCCGCCGCCGAGCGCGTCCCCGGCGGAGGGGAATCCGCCGCCCTCGGCGCCGAAGGCGTCGCCGCCGCCGAAGCCGCCGCCGAAGTCCCCGAAGCCGCCCGCGTCGCCGCCGAAGGCAGCTGCGCCTGCTCCGGATGCATCTGCGTCGAAGCCGCCAGCGTCTCCGAAGCCAGCGGCTCCGCCGTCTCCGAAGCCGCCGTCTCCGAAGCCGCCGTCTCCGAAGCCGCCGTCTGGGAACTCCTCGTCGATTTTCTTCTTGTCCTTCTTCTCCTTCTTCGCTTTCTTGTCCTTCTTCTCCTTCGGGGGCAAACGAGCACGATTACTACAACCAGCTCTTCGAAAGCCCCGCCGGGGCCCAGGTCTTGATGCATGCCGGCTCTCAGCCAGGCCAGAAGACCGTCTCCCCCGAGAACTGGGCTGGGGAACCCCCGAACGCCCGATGGAGACGCACCCGAGATGGAGGGCAACACTATCCAGGATGGAGATCGGAACTTCCTTGGAACGTAGATTTGGGAGGGTTGGGAGCTCTGGGGGGACGGAGGCGAATTATTTGCCATCGGCGTTGAAAGCCTAACCAGGACGCCGCAAGAAGCTTCTCGCAAAAACATTGGCAACGACAACAGCTCTGCGGGTCGAATCCTTGACAAGCCTGTTGGTGGTGCATATGGACCATCGTCTTCAATCGGAGGCGCGCAAAGATGGATCAGCGATTCATGGATCTAGCGCGTGGTCGCCAAATCCATGGATCGGGGGAGGTGCCCTCCCCAGAACGCGGCCGTGCCCCCTCGCTCGGCGGCGGAACTCCGCGATTTCCCGTGGAAACGGGACCCGTCGCTAATCCACGCCCCCCTGATCCATGCTTGCGATCGCCTGATTCAAGAGGGGCGATCACTTGCAAGACTTAAGTCGGGCCTGCCCCCCTACATGCCGATTCTGGACGAAAAGTATAGAGATACCCACACAATGCCAAACAAACAAATGGTCCAAAAGATAGTCCCCATACCATTTTCTGACTACTTTTGAACATTCCCCCTGTAGAGGGACAGGCCCGACTTACTGCAGGACGGCACCTGCCCTCGCCGAGCGCCGGGCCCAGCGCCCTGCCCCGGCGAAGATTCGCCCACGACGCGGGCCCAGACAGCTGCTGGGTCCCGGGGGTCAGCTCTCCGGGCCGCGCCCCGCCGCGACCTACAAAGACGACGGCAACTACGGCGGCGACGTCGTCGTCGCCGCCGTCGGCCTGCCCCTCGAGGAGGGTGGGCAGAAGAAGATGTGAGGTGGGGCTCTGGTCGGCTCGAGCTCGTGGGCCCGTGGACTCGAGCTCGTGCGCACAGCCGAGAACCTCACGGAACGCACAGAACCTGCAGAACGACGGCGTCGACTCGGGGCCCCGGCCAAGTCTCTGGAGGTCGCTGGAGCTCCCTGGGCGACTCCAGAGGGAGATGAGGAGGATGTTGGCGGCGCGCACCAGGGAGGGGGGAGGCTCATTGGAAGGAAGCTGCTTCTGAGAAGGCGCTGGCCCTACATCCATAAACAAGGCCCGCGCCTTCTGAGAAACAATTTTTGATCAGCGGGGCGAGAGCGAACCTCTTCCGCTAAAAGCTAGGCGGGCTACGCGCAGCTTTAATTTGGCCTTCTGAGAAACAGGCGTGCTTCTAAGAAGTCCTCCCCCCTGGCCCCCCTGCCCCCGTCTGCGCGTGGCCGAGGATGGCCGCCCGCCGAGAGGGACGACGGCTCCTCAGAAGCGCCAACAGGCGCGGCGGGGCCGCTCAGTGGGCGGGCGTGTCGGTGCAGTTCGCGCTGGTGGCAGGGGATGTTGATGATGGAGGATGGGGAGAAGGGGGAGGAGGAGGAGGAGGAGGAGGAGGAGGAGGAGGAGGAGGAGGAGGAGGAGGAGGAGGAGGAGAGGAGGAGGGGGAGGGAAGGAGGAGAGGAGGAGGAGGAGGAGGGAGGAGGAGGAGGAGGGGGGGAGGGAAGGAGGAGGAGGAGGAGGAGGAGGAGGAGGAGGAGGAGGAGGAAAAGGAGCAGCAGCAGGGATGTCCTTCTTCGTCTTTGAGCTGGTCTCGGACGGCTCGCTCGGGACGAACTCCATGGGCCAGGCGGGGCTGCGGGGCAACGGGAAGGGCGAGCTCAGCACTGCATGAGCGCTTGCGGGAGGGTCGGCTGCTGGGGCCTCGGCCTTCCCCGCGGTGTTGTCACACCAGTTGCGAAAGAGGCCGAGAAAGAAAAGGACGAGGATGAGGATGAGGATGAGGATGAGGATGAGGATGAGGATGAGGATGATGATGATGATGATGATGATGATGATGATGATGATGATGATGATGATGATGCTGATGATGATGATGATGCTGATGATGATGATGATGCTGATGCTGATGCTGATGCTGATGCTGATGATGATGATGCTGCTGCTACTGCTGCTGTTGATGATGATGATGACGACGAGAAGGAGGAGGAGGAGGAGGAGGAGGCGGAGGCGGAGGCGGAGGAGGAGGAGGCGGAGGAGGAGGAGGAGGGGAGAGGAGGGGATTTGCCAGAGATCGCGCGCATGCATCCGCCCTTGGCGCGCGGTGGCTGGGGGTGTCCCGTCGGTGGCGCGGCGGTGTCCTGTCGGTGACGCGGCAGTGTCCCGTCGGCGGCTTGGGGTATCCCGTCGGTGGCGCGGGGCACCCCGTCGGTGGCGCGGCGGCGAGATGGATAGTGGGATCAAGCGTGAGATCGATTGTCAAATCGATAATGGGATCTGTTGTAAGAGCGATAGCGAGATCGATGGTGATATCGATT